GCTGTCACTATCACGTCGTTAATCTGTCGTTAATTTGTACAAAACAGTCAAGTTCTTTCTGTAATTGTGATCCAATTACGTCTTTTCTACCCAATCTTCCTGATTATTACACTTTGTAATTAATTATTAATTTGACCTTTGACCGGAAATAATTCTGGAACTTTCTTACACGTTCACTTTATAAATCCATGAATGTACAGCCTGTCTAGATGACGGTGACTTTATCGAAAAGAAAATTTTCTCCACTGTAACCATCTGTTTAATAATTCTCATAATTCCGTGACTTTAGGTAGTACAGATGATCTGCATCCCTAGCTTATAATTACTGGAGCAACAAAGGACTTTTCACACACATAGATCAGCGAAGAGTCTCTTTTCAACGGCGAATTCATTTTCTTAGCTGTACAATCGCAAATATATATGTGTTATTTTGTATGTATGTGTACAATAAGTTTATCAAACAAAAATACAATTGGTTATAGTTATTTAAACTAAACATGTGAAGATTGGTAATTGGAGTTACGTAATGCAAATCCTGCTGCTGTGGATCCAGGTACATCGGTCGTTCGGCGCGCACCCTGTCCAAGAGGATTCAAGAACACTATTCAGCCAGTATGCTTGCGAAAAGGCAATAGCGGTGCAATAAGGAGTGCGATAATTGAACATTTGGTCAACACTGATCATTCCATTTCAACAAACGCATCCTGCTTCAAAGTAATCTACAGAGTCAAGAACAACCTATCAAAGGCAGTACACTTTCGTCTTCTTTGTATCGCTGAAGCTCTGGCCATTCACATAGAAAAACCGGAGCTGTGCATACAAAAAAGGATTACTCAACCACTTCTACTGTCTTGGTAACAACTTTTTTGATTTGATTTTTTTTTTATTTTGATGACGTAATTTTGTTTCTTTGCCTGTTCTTTAATTGTTTATGATCCTTGTATTCATTTAGAACTCTTACGTAATTTCGTATTATCTATTTTGTTCCTATGTGCATCCTGAGTAAAACTCACTCATCAAACTATTCATATTATTACATAACTTCTTTTTTTCAACAACTGTTTGTGACAACTCATCACCTTTGTTACTTACTACCCTAATTTCATTAACACCTAATTTTCTTGACTGATTTTGTATTATGTAACTGCGATTACCAAACTTCACCTGTTTAGTTAAAATAACTATAACCAATTGTATTTTTGTTTGATAAACTCATTGTACACATACATGCTATACTGGCTGGAACTTATGTTCCTGCAGGTCTTACCATGCCAGAAAGGTTGTTTGGATAGCGGTTAGACTAAAAGCAGTTACCCAATCCAATCCTATGACTTCAAACAAATCACAAAATATCATGCCGGATCGGTCGGGGCCCGGATTAACAACGACCGCGCTTTCTGCTGCCGTGTCACAGGGCAGAAGTGATAAATACGCTACTGAGACACACCAAATAAAAAAGAACAAACAAAAACAGGCCGTGTGTGACCGGCCTCAAGCAGTTGTCCCCTGGGCTCTGCGGTCACGCAACCAACTTCCACGGTGTGGGCAGCCGGGAAGTAACAATCGCCCTCACAACCCAGACAGACAGACACATACATACAAAATAACCCATGTATATTTGCGACTGTACAACTAAGAAAATGAATTCGCCGTCGAAAAGAGACTCTTTGCTGAACACTACGTGTTTTGTTTTCATTAATGCCTGGATAGGGGGATTATACATGAATTTTCACACACATACACACACACAAACACAAACACATATAGTGAAAACAATCTAACTGTATAATAACTCAGTTTTCATTTCCTTGATTTCATTAACTTGAAGTGGATCTTTCATGTTACCCGGCTGATGGTACACTATCGAGCTGCCCAAACCAAAAAAAGGAGAAAGATTCGAACCCAGTACTTAGGCCAATGGAGGACGATTCCATTCAAAAAACACAACAAAAACATGATGAATGAATAATATAGCGATTGAAAATCTTGAGCAGGCGAAACAGAGAAACCTAGCAACCAAAGAACACTGAATTTGACACGTCAAACAACAATGTGTAAACGACTAACTAGAAGATTTTACACTTTGATCAATTGATGAAATTCCCGAGTGTTGCTAAAGGCTTCTCAAAGACTAGATTAGTTTCTGGCAACCTTGAAATCTATTGTGAACAAACTAACCTTAAGCATACGTCTTTTTTGAGAACCCTACCTGTAAGGACAAATCTAAGATCCTAAAGGAATGGACTAATTATCAGTTGAATCATGAATAATCCCCATTCAGACATTAATTTAAAAAAAAAAATGAAAAACGTAGTCCAGTCAAGAGTCTCTTTTCGGCGGCAAATTCATTCACTCAGCTCTCCAATAACAATGATATGTATGTTTATTTTTGTATGTGTGTGTGTGTGTGTTTACACTAGTTGGGGGTTGAAGGTGAAGATTGGTGAGAGGTTAACAGGTGATGCGTTGTCATTATTACTGTTATTACTGTTAATCAACACATAACAAAAGTTGAATAAGCTCAAGACAGTAACGCAGTAAGATCAATAAATAGTTCAATGAGTGAAGTGTGATTAGTGTGCACATAGACACAAAGGAAAATATGGACCATTGGATCGGGTCCCAGTGGCTCAAGGGTCTACGAGCTTGCCTTGTAACCAGAAGGTCCTGGGTTCGAATCCCGGTGGGTGCGAACTGATGAAGAGTCCCAAACTAGGACGAAACAGCTGTCCAGTACTTCCTTGTTGGTTTTCCAGTGGTTCTCTAACTGATGTCAGCTCATGACGAAATCCTACAAATATTATGAGGAGCTAGAAGAGAAGGAAATAAGCACACAAACAAACATCAAGTGAGTAGAAGTCAACACGGTTGTTTCGATGATAGTAGAGGTGGTTCAATGATTTCCTTATGCCTGCATAACTCTGGTTTTTATCTAAGTGAATGAATGAATGGCTAAGACTTCAGCACAATACAGAGGAGATGAAGAAAGAGTATTGTTTTTGGTAGGTTGTTCTTCACCACTTTGGAGATCACTTTGAAGCAGTAGGAGGTGTTTGTTGAGATGGAATAACCAGTGTTGGTGATGAGGTGTTCGTCGGTCGCACTCTTGATGTATCCACTATGACGATTTTTCAGTTGTGTTGTGGGATAGCGTTCTTGAATCTTTTTGGACAGGATACACGTCGAACGACCAATTCACCTGGCTGGTTCCACAACAACAGGTGAACTGATGTACGCACGTAGAGGTGGCCAGATGAGAGATCTTGTCCTTGAGGTTTCTGTTGGTGTTTCTGAGAAGAAAGTCGCTGAAATTCTTCTCTTGAAGATATCCCAAGCTAAGTTTGCCTTTCCATATACATGTGAAGTATCTCTTCTGGAAGAAGTGATATTTCGTTCCGGTGAACCTTTGATTTGATTTTTTTTTTTTGTAGACGAGTCTTGTTGGGTATCCATTTTGGATGACGGTTTCTTTTAGATTAATAACTATGTTTTTTGACATCAACTAACCATTACCCTTTCACCAATCTACCCCCGCAACCCCCTAGCTACAGTTTTATAACTCATCACATATTTGAAATGTCTTGCCAACAATAACGCTAACTTATTTTTATTCTTATCGGACAAACTCAATGTACACACACACATACAAAAATAAGCATGTATATATAATTGCTAGTGTACAGATGAGTGAATGAATTCGCCGCCGAAAAGAAACTGGACGATTTCATCACGAGCTGACATCAGTTAGAGAAACATTGCAAAACCTGCAGGGAGTACTGGACAGCCAGCTGTTTCTTTAGCCTAGTATGGGACTCTTCATCAGTACGCACCCACCATAGGGTACAGCAAGCAGGTTGAAGATGAGGCAGTAACTCACTCATCGAAGAAGACACTGCGTGCGTGAATTGGCAGAAGTTAGAATTCATGCACTGACTGGCCATTGGATCGAATCCCAGTGGCTCAATGGTTTACGAGCTAGCTCGCATTGCAACCAGAAGGTCCTGGGTTTAAACCCAGGGGGTGTGTACTGATGAAGAGTCCCAAACTAGGACGAAACAGCCGTCCAGTACTCGCAGCTGGCTTTCCAGTGGTTCTCTAACTGATGTCAGCTCATGATGAAATTATCATAATACCTAAGTAGCAAAGATAGGACTTCAGGTGAACATAGAGAAAACAGAGGTGGTGAAGATTCCTGGGCAACAGCACCAACAGCAACGACAACAACAGACAACAATAAGCATAAATGGGAGGAACCTACCTAGCTGGGAAGCATCGTTTCAACTACACGCGGACAGAACTGACGAGGATATCAAAGCAGCGAGAATCGGAAAAGCAAGACAAGCTTCCATTACTCTCAAGTCTGTGTGGAGGTCAACAGACAGCACTCAGCATCAAAAATAAGATCCGGATTTTCAACTCCAATGTGAAGTCAGTCAGTGCTACTCACTATACGGATCAGAGACTTGGCCAGCACGTCATAAAGAGCATCCCAAACAAACTACACACCTTCATCAACAGCTAGCTGTCTTCGCTCAGTACTCCGCTCAAGATCAGATGGCCGGCCGGCCCGGTAGAAAAGATCAGCAACAGGGTGGGATCTCTGGCAATGAGCAAACCAACACAGCAGGAACCGATTGTGAAACAAATAGGCAGGAAGAAATGGAGGTGGACTGGATTGTGGCCATACTCTGAGGAAACAAACCACCAAGTGAGTGACATCACTAGACAAGTCATTGCTCGAGTGGAACCCGACGGAATGGGAAGCGGCGAATTGGTCGTCAGTGCGAAAGAGGGTGACTTGGAGGAGGTCATGTGAAGAGGAGATGAAAGCGTGTGGGCAGACTTGGAGCCAGGTGAATACTCTAGCAGAGAACCGAACGCAATGGAGACGCACGGCTGAAGCCCTATGTTCCTCTAGGAATTAAAGGAAACAATAATAATAATAAGGGTATAGAAATACACTACTCATCAGAATTAAAAACTTAAAATTATTATCTTACTTTGAAAAAATTATGATACATATAATAATGATAAGATTGTGGATGTTCATGCGATAAATCGATATATTCATCCATATTAAACGTTTTCACATAACGAAAACTAAGCTTGCCCTCGTGATGATAGTCAACCAATCGCTGGTACATACCGACCACAGTGGAACCAGTTGGTAGACCAAGTGTAAAATGCCGAGATTCTGAAGGCTGAAATTCAAGTATCCTTTTCATGATATATTTTGCAGCCCAATTTGTGACTGCTTCCGGATCTTCAAGAATTATTAAACGCATTATGAATACGTTGGTGCTGCAGCAGTTATCTGTGTAGAAAACAAAAACAAAACGAAAAATAAGGGGTTAGGATAAAAGCGAAATTATTCAACAACAACAACAACAACAATGAATGAATAAATAGAAAATGTTGATGCAATTCCATTATGGGTAAATTTTGTTTTGATAAAGTCTCACAGTGTTGTTATACAGTAATGTTTACTGATGACCAAGTTTCGAGCACAATTTATTATTGCCACTCATAATCATATCAAGGTAATCACACGACTTCCTAAATTCATTTATATAGTTCCATTGTTTTTCACTTGATTTGATTGGTAGTAGTGGTATTTTCCATATTTCGGGTATGAGTGATGAATCATTCCTATTGCATGTGTTGGGTGTAGATTCGATGAACCAGCCAGGATTCAGTAATCAACCTCTCTCCATTTCCACCTACCTAGATTACTTTTTAGAATTGTAACCCTCTCCCACCATCCTATTGTGTGGTTGTGTGTTAATGCATGCATTGCAATTGCTGAGCTTTTTTCTAAATTACTTATCTTCTCGGGTGGGGTCAACCATTCTTACCTTGGCTAAATTCTTATGTTCTGACAATCTGACTATGCCTGACCTACTAGTTTGACCTATGTAGTTGACGTAGCTCACAGTCATTGCAGGGTATTTTGTAAATTATATTATTTTGCCTAATTGGGTCAACCAACTGGGTCCTTTAACCTACAGAGCTTGTCCCTGAGTGAGTTTGTAGGTTTGAATGCCACGCTAATTCCTGCTTTATTTAGAATCCTACGTAGGATCTCAGATGTCCCCTCTTCATATGGTATAACTGTAGATGACTTATATTCTCTCTTATTTATGTTATCATTACTAGTTTCACAATTATTTTTATTTTGCTTTTGGCGTTTTTCAATCTTCCTAATGGATTTTATGGGATAGTTATTTAACACCAACGCCTCTTCTTCTATCTGTTTTATTTCGTCATTTAGGTCTTTTCTTGTGCTACTTAGAGCTACTGCTCGGTTTGTTAAACACTTAACTAAGCTTGCCTTAACAGTTAACGGATGAGATGAATTAAAGTCTAAATATCTATTAGAATGCGTTGGTTTTCTATAAACACTAGTGTGTAGTTTGCCTTCTTCTATTCGTTTTATTTTACAATCTAACATCACGGCTAATTCTCTTTGCTCATTTTCGGCTTCAAATATGAATTTTATTCCCTCCACTAGTGGGTTTATGTGTGTCAACAAGCTAGAGAGAGATATGTTCTGTTTTTAACACTGTGAAAGTGTCATCCACACATCTCCATCATATTTCTGGAGTAGGATAAAACGTATTAAGAGCCATATTTTCCCAGCTATCCATAAATATATCTGCCACGATAGGGGATGTTGGGGATCCCATTGCTACACCTTCAGTTTGTCTATATATTTTGCCTTGGAATTTAAAGATAGTAGATGTGAGGCACAACTGAATTCCTAAAATAATTTCATTAATGGGTAGGACGAAACTACTAAGTAATTTAAAAGAAAGTTCTTCAATTGCAATGCATGCATTAACACACAACCACACAATAGCATGGTGGGAGAGGGTTACAATTCTAAAAAGTAATCTAGGTAGGTGTAAACAGACAGAGGTTGATTACTGAATCCTTGTTCATCGAATCTACACCCAACACATGCAATAGGAATGATTCATCACTCATACCCGAAATATGGAAAATACCACTACTACCAATCAAATCAAGTGAAAAACAACGGAACTATATAAATGAATTTAGGAAGTCGTGTGATTACCTTGATATGATTATGAGCAGTAATAAATTGTGCTCGAAACGTCATCAGTAAATATCATTGTATAACACTGTGTGACGCTTTATCAAAATAAAATCTTATCCATAATGGAGTTACACTCTACCACCACAGTGCAGAAGTTTCATACTTATATCAAAATGTTAATGATTATTGAGAATACAACAATTTCTTGACTGATTTTAAATCATTTCGGTTTTTGTTAATTTAAGCTTGTGTAGTCAGTTATAGTGATAGTTAACTCGTTTACTGACACATGCGAAAGAAACTTCAGCAGGTATACAAAAGTTTCTTGTACAATTTGCCAAACCACACCATTTCTGAAAGAAAAAACCTCTTTTACCTACCCACCAACCTGGGAAGCATCGTTTCAACTACAGGCAGACGGAACTGACGAGGATATCAAAGCAAGGATCATCGGAAAAGCAAGACAAGCCTTCACTACTCTCAAGTCTGTGTGCAGGTCAACAGACAGCACTCAGCATCAAAAATAAGATCCGGATTTTCAACTCAAATGTGAAGTCAGTCAGTGCTACTTGCTATACGGATCAGAGACTTGCACTGCGCGTCATAAAGAGCATCTCAAACAAACTACACACCTTCATTAACAGTTGTCTTCACTCAATACCACTCAAGATCAGATGGCCGGCCGGCCAGAAAAGATCAGCAACAGAGTGGGATCTCTGGCAATGAGCGAACCAACACAGCAGGAACCGATTGTGAAACAAATAGGCAGGAAGAAATGGAGATGGATTGGATTGTGGCCATACTCTGAGGAAACCATCAAGTGAGTGACATCACTAGACAAGCCATTGCTCGAGTGGAACCCGACCGAAAGGGAAGCGGCGAGTTGGTCGTCAGTGCAAGGGTGAGGGTGACTTGGAGGAGAGGTCATGTGAAGAGGAGATGATGAAAGCATGTGGACAGACTTGGAGCCAGGTGAATACTCTAGCAGAGAACCGAACACAATGGAGACGTGCACGGCTGAAGCCCTATGTTCCTCTAGGGAATAAAGGAAACAATAATAATAATACTCCATTTCAGGCTTGTTAAACGTGATATCCGACTGGCCATCAATCAAAGTACTGCTTAGCAGTTTTCCTTATCTAGTTTTATGGTTGTGAGTGAGGCATGGCCATTGAAAGTGGAAGCTATGAAAAGTCAGACTAGCTATCATCTTTGATCATAGATATCTGCGTTCTATCTCCCATGTTACGTGGTGGTATAATAGGTTGGTGAGTAATATTCAGGTTGAGCATCGACTGTTAGGTAAGGAGAGAAGCTACATCAATTGAGATATATGGCTAGGACATGTGTTACGCATGCATGCATGACTAGCCATCACCTTCACCGCCACTGATATAGGATGCATTCGGTTGGAAAAGAGGGAGCCAGTGGTGGTGGTGATGGGGCGGTGGTCAAACTAAAACATGCTTTCATCATCAGTTAATGAAATTCACAACAGTTAGTTTAAGCCAGCCAGCCAGCCGGCCAGTCACGTAGGGAGATGTAAACTGACTGACTTCATGGTTGGGCTCTTTTTTGGGATGCTAAAATCCAATGAAGGCTTCAGACAACTGGTGATATGGCTAGCTCAAAATAGTTGTCGACGATGGCTGGAGCTGGCGCAGATGCATTCACTCTTCGTGATAATTTATCATATCCAATAAAACTCTGCCGTTGTTCTTCCATTCCCTCACTGACACTTCCGTTTATTTTTTTTTCTCTCTCTCTCTGTTTTGAATCTCTCTTTACTCTCTTCCCTTGCTTGTGTGCATGGAGGGTGTATGGCAACTCGAACAGCTGTACTTCTGTGCAAGGCTCTATATAAAACAAGCAATAAAGGTTAATAAAGCAGGATGGTGTCGCAATGGGAAGCCCCTTGGAACCACTTTTCACTGACTTATTCTTGTCACGCCTAGAAACCGGTACCCTGCAACAACATATACAAGGAACGGATCTATACCTAAGATATGTTGATGACATTTTTATTGCCTGTGGAAGCAAATCAAAAGCCGAAGACATGTTGATACAATTCAACTCATGCCATCCAAATCTCAATTTCCCAGTAGAACACGAGGAAAACGATACTATTAAATTCCTAGACGTTTTTCTGGCGAAAATGAATGATGGCACAATCGAAAGATTTATATTTAGAAAGTCCTCATGGACAGGACAGTACATGCATTTCAAGAGTTTTGTTCCAATCCAGTATAAAAAGAACTTAGTTAGAACATTGTTCAATAGAGCACGAAAAATTTCTTCTGACAGTACTGTTGAGCATGAAATAAAATCTCTGAAGGATATCTTATCTAAGAATGGATATCCTGAGAAGTTCATTAATAAAAATAATCTAAAGAAATTAGCCCCTGAAAAACAATCCAAACAGTTCCGAAGAAACCTGTCTATATCAGTTTGCCGTTCAAAGGACATGATGTACAGGAAGTAGTCCAACGCAGACTAGACAAAGCCATCAAGAGAACTTATTATGCTGCAAAACTTGTTTTCCTTAACACCACCACTAAGCGAGTGCTTCAACAATCTGGGAAAGACCAGTCGCCAATCCTGGACACTTCAAACTGCGTATATCAATTTGATGAGTGTGTTTGTAGAAGCACATACATAAGTCGTACGGAAAGGCGATTGTCTACTCGCATGATGGAGCATTTGCCAAAATGGTTGAAAACAGCTGAGTTCAAAGTGTGAAAATCCTCAATAACAAAGCATCTTGTGGACTATGGACATGATATCGACGCTGTCAAGTCATTCACCATTGTCAGCAAACAAAGAAACAGGAAGATGCTTGCAATTGCAGAGGCTTGTGCAATTCGAGTTTACAAACCAGGTCTCTGTGTACAAAAGGAGATGGTCGTGACTCAGAATCTACCATGGTAATACGTTTTACTTATAATTCTACCTCTTATTATTATTTTTATTATTATTCTTGATTCATTTAAAACTATCCTTTATCAGTAGCATTATCCTAACTCCCTTCAACACTATTATTATTATTGTTATTATAACTATTACTATTGACATCCCTCTGGTTGCAATTCTTGTTATTTTCTCTAATGTCTAATTGTTCACCTAATTGATGGGTAATTGAAGCGTAATGCAATTTATCTTAATTTTGATCTCCCATACTCTCTCCCTCTCCCCTTATCTAATTGAACATGACCTGGAAAACATTCGCACCTGTCTTTCTGCATGACTAATTCAAC